GCTGAATTATATCAGGAAAACGTGATCTGTGATCAAGTCGAGGTTATGTGACGATGTGAGGTGCTATAAATGACAACGTGCAGTGACCCCCCCCTGTCTGCAGGTCAGCCATGGCTCTCACACAGGTGTCCTCCAACAAGTGTGCCGGCGGCTTCCAGAAGGTGTTTGAACATGACAGGTGAGACAAACAACCGTCCTCACCTTTGACCGCAAGACAGAAAACTAAACAAAGTTGAGCTTCACAGATGTCTGTTGAATTCTTGCCTGTTTTCTGTCCACAGCACTGAGCTGAAATGCAAGATGAAGTTTGCCATTTATCTTCCCCCCAAGGCTGAAACAGACAAATGTCCCGTACTCTACTGGCTTTCTGGTGAGTCTCAGGCCAAAATAGGGTGGAAGTCTTAAATTCACTTGTATCCTTAGAAAGTCTTAAATTCATGTATCTAAACTTAAGGCCTTAAAATGTCTTCAGTTCGTTTAAATAATGTAAGTCGGACTTAATTACATCAACGTCGTACTTTTTGAAAGGTTCTGTATCTCAGTGGTTTGTCCTGTTGGACGTTTACCAATCGTTGGAGTACCTGCAGGTAGATGGAAACCCGACGTGAGTTGTGCTGTCTCTCTGCAGGCCTGACGTGCACCGAGCAGAACTTCATCACCAAAGCAGGCAGCCAGCTGGCTGCAGCCGAACACGGCATCATCATCGTGGCGCCGGACACCAGCCCACGTGAGATGACACACGCTGAAAAACACCGCAGTGCGTTCGAACGTGAGTCTGTGGAACAAAGTGACGACGTTCCCGCCTTCCTGCCTCAGGTGGCTGCAACGTCGAAGGCGAAGACGAGAGCTGGGACTTTGGGACAGGAGCTGGTTTCTATGTCGACGCCACCCAGGATCCCTGGAAAACCAACTATCGCATGTACTCGTACGTCACAGAGGAGGTGCTCCGGATTCCGTCCGCCATCCTACCAACCAGACGCTCACCTCCTCAACTTCCTGTCATCTAAACCAACATCCGTGTTCTGTTTCAGCTCCCGAAGCTCATCAACGCGAACTTCTCCACAGACCCGGAGCGGATGTCCGTCAGCGGCCACTCCATGGGGGGCCACGGCGCGCTCATCTGCGCCCTGAAGAATCCGGGAAAATACAAGGTCACTTCCTGTTTCTGCTCAGACAGGAAGTTGGATTGTGTTTGCTGTTAGACGTTGAATCCTCCTGACGTTTCTTTCCCTCGCAGGCCGTGTCCGCGTTCGCTCCCATCTGTAACCCCATGCAGTGTCCCTGGGGGCAGAAGGCCTTCACGGGTTACCTGGGAGACGACCGGTCCACGTGGGAGGTGGGAGCCCTGCGGCCTTCTGCTACAAAATAAAAGCACGTTTCACGGGAGAATGCAAGTTTTCTAAAACAAAAAAACGCTGCGTTTGTTTTTCCAGGCGTATGACGCCACCGTGTTGGCAGCTTCCTACTCCGGCCCGCAGCTCGACATCCTCATCGACCAGGGTCGAGACGATCAGTTTCTGTCCGCCAGCCAGCTGCTGCCCGACAACCTGATCGCCGTCTGCTCAGAGAAGAAAATCCCCGTCGTCTTCAGACTGCAGCCGGTCCGTCCCCGTAGCGTCGCAACGCTTCCAATTCTCACAGATTCCCAATTCCATTTTGATCTAAATCCCAACAGCATAATGCTGCCGGCACCATCAGTGGCTAGGAGGTTGAGACGTCTCAGTTGCTACTATTCAGCGAAATTCAGTCAGCTTTTGTATGGACTTTGGAATTTTCACCCAATCGTTGCAACTTTTCTACAAATCTGACTAAACACTGCAACTCTGCCAAATGTTGACTAATCCTCTAAACCCTCTTCTGATTTAACTTCCTGTTTCACAATGGCTCTTGGAAGCCAAAGCTACAAAATTAAAGCATATGACGCTTAATGCTAACATTTGCAGATCATGTTGATGATGATTAGTTAATCTGTTAGTGTATCAACAAGAATACTAATGTTGTTGTTATACACCCCTTGCTGCTTGATGCCAGGTATAAACCCCCTCCACATTGGAACAGACTGTCAAAAATACAGCTTAAAATATTAGTCCATTTGAAAAAGGTGCCGCAAATCACAAATAACCTGGCAACATCCAGGATCAGGTCGTCCATGTAGGTACTCCTCGTTCGCTGCGCCTCCTTCAGGGCTGGCAGCAAACTGCGAGCAGGCTTCCTTCTTTAAGCAGGGATTTTCTTGACTAGCAGTCATCCTGTCACATATCACAAAATGCCTGCTTTCCTCTAATCAATGAGCATGTTTGTATGAAATAATTTCTTGCGTCATAAAATGTTTAATTAATTAATTCTGTTGCAGGGCTACGACCACAGCTACTTCTTCATCTACTCGTTTATAAACGACCACATCAAGCATCACGCCAAGTACCTGAAAGCCTGAGCCGCCACACCGCGGCGGCCGCGGTGCGGCCGCCGCACCGCCGCGCAAGCATCAGTTCACCGACTCAACGCCCAGCTACAATAATGTCCTGGAATAAAGTGTGGAAATGTTGCCTTCTGCGTTCAAAGCACCTTCAGACGTGACCATGTGATGAATTACTTCAATTTTACTTCATTAGAGCTGAAAGTGTCGGTGAACAAATGGGAATTCTTTGGAATAAAAACTCATTACTCTTTTGCTTTTTTTAAGATTTTTTTCTTTTGTCTCCTCCAATTAGTAACGAATAAAACCCGCAGCCAAGGGTTGACATTTCACTTTTTTACACGTGCTACAATAAAAGAAGAAAATGAATAGAAATGTTTGAAAATGTTCCAAATTAAATCTGCCAGTGTAACTATTAGTTATTTTTTACTGATGCTAAAGGAGCAGCATCATCTAAAAATCTTTACATGTTTTTTCCTAACCAAAAGCACTTCCACTTTAAGAAATACCTTAGCACAAGCCCTTATATCTGTCTAAAGTCACAAGTTTCTTGTTTTTCCAAGTGTAGTAAGATATTTGCTCTAAAATTCAGACAAAAATATTTGGTATAATTTGTTTTCGTACACTAAAGAACATAAATATTCTGTTTTAGACCCAAAATTCTACAAACTCCTAATGTTTACTTTGGAAAACAGGATTCCCATATAGTCTGGAATTTGGCTTCAGTGTTTTCCAGGTCTGGTTACATATGGAAAACCAATGTTATATTCCCCAACCCTCATCACATTTTCAAAGTATTAAATTCCTCTTGAGTTAATCTTTCCTTTCATCCTCATATAGTTACTTCCATCCCTCCTTCTTTCTGCTTTCCTTTATTTCCTGAATCCTTCATTTCTCTTCTTTTCTTTTTTCCCCTACGCCGTCCCTCAACTGTCGGATAATCTGACATAAATCACAAGTAAACTTTACAATTGTACATTTTGAAATGAACGTAAAGGTCTGCAATCCCTGGAAAAAAAATATTTATTTTATGTGAACTCAGGAAAATGCTCACCCAGAAACCAGGTTGGATTTTTTGCATGTTTCAAAAACCTCCAACTCTGAAGTTAAAATTTCTATTCAGCAATAAAATAAAGGGCTATTTCACTTCTTTTCTGCTGTGTGAACCGACTTCAATCAGTTCCATTTCAGAAGAAATGCGGCTTCCTGGCTTTATTTAGCATTCAATCAATCCATACTCTTAACGTGACCCTGAGGTGCACAAAACAGTGAAATAGTCATTTTCAGACTTTTGAATGAAACAAAATAAAATGCTGTTTTACAAACCACAAATTTACCATAAAGAAATAGGCTGAAGCCCAGGCTTACTGTTGTTACACAACTCAGTCAGAAACTCCATAAAAGATGAAAAGAAAAAAAGTCAAGTTGTGGTGTGACAAATTTGACCGAAACAATGACATTTTAATAGAAATCAAATCCTAAAAGGCTACTTTATTCTTTAGAAATTGAGTCTCTTATTGGCCAAGAAATGGATTCAAACATTAGATAATCAAACATTACTTAACCATGTTTGTCCCGCTTCAAACTTTTCCAATCTCGATTTGCCGGACGAATCGTTTCCCAATTCATCCCAATTCGTCGTGTTTATGAGGCGCAGCCAGTTCACAAAAGACGCGTTTTGTTATGACATGTGAGGTCTTTACTGATGAAGTGGTGAGAAATACAGTACAGTATATACAGTATTCACAGCAGTTAAGGCGACGTTACAGGGACATTTCATGCACGCTGTACATTTGACAAAAGTTCACAAACTGTTACAAAAGGGCACGTTTACATCAAAAGTTCAGCAAACCTGAAGAGAAGTCACAAAAAAAAAAAAAAAAAACATTTGCTCCCTGTAAGAAAAGTACAAAAACTGTGAGCATTAATATAAAAAGAAGAGACTTTTTAAGAAAACAAAACAAACAACTGCTCAACGTTCAGCAGGCACACACATTGTGTTCACTGGCATCACTATTCTAACCCAAACTCAACCCAGATTTTTCTCAGGGGCCAAAAACGAAGACTTATAAACACACAACTTTAAAGTGCTGAAACCCTCGGGGAAGTAGTCAGTTTGGTTTTATTGCTTTCCCCCCCTGAACCGCTGAGACTCGACGTGCACCGAACCGAGGAAGACCCCAAAACGAAGACTCGACGATCAGATCCCTTATTATCACCCCGGACTTCTTGTTCCTGTATCTGGCAGCAGGCGCCATGACATCGCCATGGTCCGTTTGGGCGAAGTGAACCGTTTTCGACGCCAGGAATGTTAAATATCAGAAGTTTGAAACACCATTGGTAGCTCTCAGATTTATGGGAATATACTGATTTCTGTTCAGCCGAGCTGCCTGTAGTGTTGAAATACGCAAAGATAAAATGATCATTTTCATACAACAAAATAAAAAATAAAAAAACAGCCTTTTTTAGGCAGAACATACAGTACGTTAAGTCTAAACTCTGCACATGGTGATAAATAATATGTACAGGTTATTCAACAAATAAAAAAAAACATTTAACATGACAGAGGATGTTTGTTTTGGCAACTATTAAATCCATCCAGTGGAAGCCTTTTTTTTTTGTCTAGTTTCAAAATTTAAATTCCTTATTTTACTGCTGAATCTGGAAGTGGCTAAAGCTTTGGAAACCAAGATGGAAAAAACAAACAAAACAACAACACTGCACTTCAAGAATGTTAAAGTTTCTTTCTGGCTCTCCAGACAAGCTAGAAACATAAAGCAGACCATGTTCTGGTGGATGCTGTAAAGGGGCAGCTCTAGTTTTTAACTGATGTTCGGTTTCTACTAACAAACGTTTTAATGCCACTGCAGTACCGGCTGCCTGCCTGCGGAGGGCGACCTTTCATCTCCATCTGTTCTTCCTCTGGAGCAAACAGAAAACAACCTGCACCATAATAGTTCCACCTGAATACAAAAGTTAGCCTCAATCTGAATATTAAGCATTTTTAAGACTGAACCACTCCAGAACTCAACTCTTCTAAACCTCTAAATTATTTGTTTTTTTACACTTTTATTTTGAAGAGCAGGTAGAAATACTCTGTGCTGAACACACACCTCTGTAATACAAGATGTGAAAGCCCGTTTAAAATAAAAATGCTCATGGCACAGAGACTGGAAATAAACATTTTCTGTGCCTTTTTTGATTATTTTATATCACAACTCTATCAAGTTGTAATATAAAAGACCCCAAGAGAAGAAAATTTTTAAACAAGTGAATAAGATAAAATATTTCAGCTGAACAGCAAGTAGAAGATGGTTGGTTCTGGAAGCGAAGGAATGTAAACACAAAAACTTACTAAGTATTTTTGGTCTGATTTTTGATGGAAATAAAAAAACTTTCAGCCTGACATAGGGGCTTGTTTTAACTCAAGAATTCATTAATATTCATAATAACTGGTTCCACTGGCTGACGTTTTCTCAGTGCAATAAATGAAATAATCTGCCACTGAAACTAGTCCTCCTTTTAATATTAAGAAATTGACTCCTATCTTGCTGAAAAGTAAGTTATTGTAAGTGAACTAAGATATTTGTACTTGAAACTAAATAAAAAATACTTGGTAACATTTTGTGGTTTTGTATTTGCGGTGAGATAGTTAGGTGTTCATCTTCAGTCCACCACAAAACTGTCCTAAAACGATGTGGTTCAAAGTTCAAGAGGTGAAACATCTTGTTCTTTTACTACAATGAGGGCAACGCATTTTTTTCTGCCCCTTTAAAGCATCCATTTTTGCCAGGTCTGCAGAGCAAAATGATGCCAAAGGCCACACACACACACACAAGCACACCCCCCCCACACACACACGCACACACACACTATAAAATACTGTTGATGAAGCACGCTGGGTAATGAGGCATCAACAGTGCAGTAAACCAAGCCCACCCAGAGTCACACAGTCTGTAATCTCACACAGCAACAACTCCAGCCTGAAACACACACACACATTCACGCACACACAGAAAAAGCTTCTTCAGCGCAGTCAGTAGGCCAAAGGAATGTTTTGCTACATTAACTGGAAATTTGCTCTCCAGAGCTGTGAGAATCTGACTTTTTGTTCTCAGACGTTTTCAAACTCAAAATTATAATTATTTCAAAATGTCTTAAAAACAAAAAAAAAAACAACACACTTCAGCAGTCCAGGCCTGAACGAGAGGCATGATGATTAGCTCACTCCTCTACCTGTGTCCCAATATCAGATATCCATGAATCATCGAGTTTTAAGAAATTAATGACAGGCGGCGGCCCCTAGGGGGCAGACACAGAAACGTACAGTGCTGGAACTTTCCCACATTTTGTCTCGTCATTACACTTCTTGTCCGTTTCTTTCTTGGTAGCACTGTGTGTTTTGGCACATTAAACCAACTGCATCTGACGGAAGCACATCAACAAGTCCACCTGTTCCATTTCCACTGGATAAATCGGTTAGCTGGCACACGAGAAAGCAACGCAGAGAAAGTCAGATTAGTGTCCTCCAGAGAGACAGTGACAGATATACACCCGCGTCAGAGACAGCCACAGGTAGACTTTAGAAAATATACACACTTATACCCAAAATATATTAGAGAAAAATACCTTTGGCCTATTTCTGTCCGACTCTATACAACAACCTCTGTTTTGTTTTTGTTGCTTTTTTTCAGCTTCTCTTTATATTATAAAAATCTCCAGGTTTAAATAGAAGTAGATAAAAAGCCTTCTCCCTCTGTCATAAGACTTTAGTATTTTGGTTTGAATCTCTTCAGAGAAGTGAGAGCAAAAATGTTTCAGCTACAAGCTCAGTAGAAAAACAACTAAATATATCTGTACAAAGTCCCAAAAAACAAAAACATTTTAAATGATGTGTGCATAGGCAGAGGGATCACTGAGGCGACTAAAATATTCAGACTAATATGCCAAACAGTCTAAATGTATCCACAAATGCTTAGTAAAATTCAAAGTTTCTAAAACAACTTGCGTTTAAAGCCAAAAAAGGGATTAAAAATAACTGGTGGGAAGGAAAAAATGTTAAAATTTTTTAAATACATTGATTTTTCAAGGAAAAAGAAAGAAAGAAAAAAAAAAAATACATTTGCAATTTCATCCAAAAGCATTTGGCAAAAATATCTCAATAAAAACACTACCAATTTCTGGATTTGTCATCAAAAAAAAAAAAAAAACTACATTTTTGGCTATTTTTTTTTGTTTGTTTTATGGCTTTTCTCATAAAATAGCATAGTTGATAACAGCTCAGCGGACCCTGGTATTCATGGGGGTTAGAGACCACAGCTGTCCATAAAAAGTAGAAATATGTGAAAAAATGTACAAAAACAATTAATCCTGGCTGTTTTAATAGTTCAAATACCCAATATAATTTCATCTACATTAATACGAACAGTGAAAACCGTCTTAGCTTCCAGCCTTCACTTTTATTTATGCTAGGAGCATGTGGTGGTGAATTGTCATAGGTAATTAGGAAACCCAGAATGGAGTTTTAGCGATATGATAATTTGCCCAATTAATCAAGTGGAATCGATTCTTAAACAAAGCAATTGACCCTTTGCACTTGACGTCATGCTGTTCATAAAGCAGCCCACTCCGCCATGATGGAAGTCAAATCAACATACGTACACGTTAGCTTCTACAAAGCTGATCAAAAATCAGACAATGGCAGCCTAATACTGCTTGTATGTAGATGATTTCACAATAAAAATATTCACAGATCGGCTGAAAACGGACCTGAGCCCACAGCAAACTTATTGTCTGGAAACCTTTTGACAAGGAAAGAAGACAGCGATGGATAGTAGCCATTAGCAGCCCTTGATGTACTCACAGATTTGAAGCAAACTTTTTTTTTTGCAAGGTGAGAAAATTAATGTTTATACACCTGTTAAGGAAGTGAGATTATTAAGATGTAATCTGTAGCTGCATTTTCATTGACATTTTGAAAATTAATGTGCCCAGTAGAAACAGCACAATTTTGTTTTTCCATAATTTTTTTTTTGCATGGGTAAGTAGAGCTGTATAATAAAATTGATTCTACAATATTTATCTATTTTCTTAGACTTTTGCAGACTTTTAGGTGTTCTATGGTGTAAGACAAACCATTGTTTATAAAGTGGTATGTGAATTCAAGCAAAGTCTGACTTGATGAAATCAACGAATACATCAGAAAGACAAAGGTATGGGTTGGTTTCTAAGCTAGCCATTTCCAACTTATGTAAATACTGCTGCCTATGAACCCCAGGTTTACTTCCACAAATAAATTAGCTTTGTGGAACCAGAAGAAACATAAATGTAAAAAAACAAACCTGGGAAAACAATCACAATCGGTCTGTTCGATACTCCCGTTCCTCCCTTCTGACGTCGGCCATGGCGGCTTTACATGATTAGATGACGTACTTGCAAAGGGTCAACAGAAACAGCATTGGGGGAAGTAATATTTAGTTATTACTTTTGGAAGGGTCCAAACAAATATCCTATAAATGTAATTCATAATTATTACGTCATCCATGATGCTTGTCCTGGATTGGCCAAAATCCTTATGTCTAATAAACATCTCTAAGCTGAAGTGTATTTGAACACAGCCTTGGAAAAATATCTTTTGTTGTATGTTATGGGACAGAAAAACGTGAAGTGATAGTTTTGCAAATTTGTGTGTAAAGATTTGTGCCCTCATAAAAACACTGCTGTGCAAAGACCAGCCAATATTGTGTCAAGTAGCATTGCACTAAGATATTCCAGCTTCTCAAGCTGCATTTTCCTTTCAATATTTGATAATATCTAATATTTTAGATATGTTCTGCAAAAAAACGCTAGTAGACAAATTTTCCACGAATAACTCGGAATTTACGATCCACAGAAAAATCCACAAACACTGCGTGGGTCCACTGTATCCTCTCGATTTCTGTTTGTCCTCTGTGAATTTCTTTTCTCCTTTTCATATTTTACAAAAATAATGGGGACCAGCCAGTGTGAAGATTTTCTTAATCTAGGTTAAAACATAAAAAATGTGGGGCTCTACATCTGCCATTTTAGCTGATCACAGTAAAAAAACAAACAAACAAAAAAAGATCCCAAACTCCTGATTTTGAGGGTTTAAAAAAAACACAAAAAAAAACACCTGCAGTGAGCCAAGCCGCTCGATTCAACGTTCCTCTTTCTGAGTTAGTACGTAAACCCACTCCAGACGGAATTGGTTCCCTTTCTGCAAGCTGACGAGAAATTCAAAGTGCTGCGATGCTGCGAACGACGGGAGACGTGAACCACGGCGTCACGTCGCGCGGAGCGGCGTCGGTCCCGCTGCGCCGCCGCTCACACCAGCACGGGGCATTTGGAGGAGGCCTCGTCCACCAGGGCCTGCACCGTGACGCACACCTTCACCAGGCCTTTCTCCTCCAGGATGTGGTGAGGCAGACACAGCTTGTCCTGGGAGGGACGGAGAGGGGCAAGAAAGAGGCAGGGAGGGGGGAGAAACGCAGGAGCAGATGCAGAAAGAGAGAGACACAATGCTAGTAAATACAAAGCGTTTGAGGAGAATGGGTGAAAGTTTCCAGGGTCTGGTCTGCCGTTTTATGTCATACCTTGAAAAAGTATGTTTTTGCATTTTTATCAATTAAAGTTTCGTATCGCATCATAATTTTTATTTATTTTTTTTACAATGTATCTTCATCATATTATCCTCTAAAAATAGTAACTAGTTGGGCCTGAGAAAAAGAGTGATAAGAGAAAAAGATTATTCTCATAAAACTCTTGTATTACTATTTTTATAATGACTATTCGTGTGAAACTATTCTCTCATTATTTCCACTATTCTCATATTAATATGACTTTATTCTCATAATAATTACACTGTCAAAACCAGTGTAATTATTGTGCAATGTTAAAAAATTTGGCCTTTACAACACAAGAGGAGGAATAAGTATAAAAAATAAAAATCCAACATAGTTTCATTCTCAATTTTCTTTTTTTTTTTTTGCCGAACTTTATCCAGGCTGGGAAAATTACTCATACAAATTCTGTACTTTTCAAAAAAACTGCATGCAAACGTCTACTTTCAAAGAATGTATGCTTTTAAAAAAATATTCACTCATATTCAGAGGAAAAATACAATCAGCAGGAAATAGTTGAGCCTTAAACAGCAAGTAAAATCTGAACCTTCTTCTGTTTTGCATATTTGATTTACTACTTTATTCAGGTCATGATTGACCTTTTTATTATGAGCTTAAAAAGAAGAAGAAAAAAAAAAGTCAACACAAAAACACCATGCTGTAAAACAGTAGAACATTTTAATTAAGATTATTATACTGTGAGAATCTCATACCTACTTCTTGTCTGACTCCTGATCAGAAATGCGCCTGAACATTGTTTTATAATTAAACACGTCGTCACTTAAAATAAATTTGCATTAAGTAATATTTCAAAGATTAAATGTCAACTTGGTACCCAGACTAGATTTAACCAAACCAAAAAAATGTCTGAAATACATTCATGGTGACAAAATATAGTTGACTGAATTATAATGTTGTAAAGGTCAGTAAAAAGAAAGAAGAAAAAAAAAAGGAAGCCTAAAGTTGCCAACTACTACAAAGTCCAGGGGTCACAGCACTGAGTCCACTTTTTAAAAATCAACAGATTTTAATAAACATCATATTACGCCGATATAGTTTGATCCTAAAGCCAAAATAACAAACGGACCCTGTTAGAGAAAATGTGACTGTCTCTAGCAGAGCTTCATGACGGTTCAAAATGGCCGCTGGATTTTCAATAGACATCGGTTTTGTTCAATTGGCTTTTTTAATCGAAAATTGAAAAACTAAAAAAACAACCTATTCATTATTCATTTTCACATGAGATTGAAAAAAAGGATACATAGATATTTCTTGTATTTTTTTCACATTATTCTCATATAAAAAATCAAACACTTGTAAAATTCAGCGATCGCTTCTGACGCCAGAGCGGGAAAGAGGGCAGAGCTTCACAGAGAATCACAAATTAAAGTGTAATGAGGTCACGGGGGCATTTTATAAATGTTTAATTTTCAATGTGAGATTAAACTCAAAAATACAAAGAACATTAATAAGTTGTTGTTTTTTTTATTTCGCACGTGAATGAATAATAGAGTATTTGTTTTTTTCTTCTTTCAAGATTTGATTCTCAATTGCAAAACGATTAAGGAAACGTCCACGGACCAACAAGGTCCACTACGCACAACTTTAGCGTACAAATTCGAAAACAATCTGCTTATTGTAACACAATAAAGTGCATTTGGTGGAGGGTACTCTTTCAAATAGACGCTATGGCAACAGTCGGTCCTGTCCTGTTCCAGTTTATTGCAAAGAGAAAAGAAAAGCGTAGAGGAAGTGGCTCATTCTGCTCTGTTTTCTTCATGTCATGAAGGATGGCTTTGTTTATTCCAGTCACAACAGACCTACTCTAACTCTCAGGCGCGTGACAAAAAGGCATCGAAGACAAAGGGAATGATCTCACGGCTCGGATTTGTGCGGTGACAAAAAGAGGGAGGGGCCTATAGGGCGGAGGAGGAGCCTGGCCTGGAGGAAGGCGGAGCTCGTTGCTACGTCAACTCGATCCAACTGTAGGCTATGAACAAGAGAACCAAGCAGAGGACGTGAACCAAGCTGGAGCCAATTACATCCCAGATCTGCCAAGCCGGAGGCGGGGTTTGGGTGGTAACGGAAACCAATGAGCGAGTCTCTGAGGCCCTGCAGGGGGCGGGGCTTCTGGCTGGGATTGTCTTGTCGTGCTTCCTGTCCGGAGGGGTCGTGTCCAAGGCGACCAGGGCCATTACGGTGGTGCGGACCAGGTGCAGACGGCACTGCGTGATGTCGTAGGGCGAACAAAGAGAAGACTGGCGCCCCCAACAGGAAGAGAGAGGCAATGCGATGAAGGCGGGTCAGACAAAAGAAAGAAAAAAAACAAGATGGAATGGAGTGGCAGAAGGAAGACAGGATGAACGGTAAAGGAAACAAAAGCAAGGGACAAGGTGAAAGACAAAGGAAAATTGGATGTAAAGATTGAAAAAATGAGGAGATGAGGGTTGAAGTGCAGATATATAAAAAAAGTACAAAAAAGAAAATGGACAAAACGTTAAATGAAGACAGAAAGAAAGTAGGAGTTCACATACAAACGAGTAGAACCAAAACAAAACGAAAGAAAGTGAAACAGAAAGAGCAAAAGAAAAAGGGAAAGAAAGAAGCAAAGAACAAAAGAGGAAAAGACAGGAAGATGGCGTGATCCAGCCGAAAGGTAAAGAAAGAAAAAAGAAAAGGCAGGAGATTAACCAATGGACGCAGAGTTCAAAAGTCACAAGTCTGAGCCGGCAGGGAGCAGAGGCAGGCAGGGGGTTACCACGGCAACCATCAGGGATGCTTACTGAGAGGATGCTCAAGTAATCCTGGTGACTGGTTGGCCCTCTCTCTCCCAGTAAGCAGCCCAGTAAGGGGGAGGGGGAGGCGGCTGATGGGAGGCCAGAGCACGGAGCGCAGTAAAGCGTCGGCAGTAAAAAGCATTCAGCGGCATCCGCAAAGAGGCTCCAAGCTGTCAGCAAGCAGCGGCGGAGGTCAAAGGTCACACAGGTTAAAACAAGAGACAACCAGAAGGGTTTTTCTTTTCGTTTAACAGAAAAAACATAGAACATAACTGACAAATAGAAGAGAGTCATTGAGTAGAGGGAGACAGAAAAAAACATGACAATAAAATAAGCACATCGATATGAAAGCAGGAACAAAAATAACAGACAAAATTTCAATAACTGAACAACTTTTCTTGATGCAATACTTCCAGTAGATTTTGAACAAAATATGAAAATTGTTTTGCCACCAATGGGAAAAATTAGGATTTGATACACATTGTGGTAATTGCTCATGTAAAAAGGATTTCACTCTATGAGGTTTCTTACTGAAGAGACCTATGCATTATCAATACATTTATGCTAATTAGCGTCTCAACAGCTCTAATACCCGACCTATGACCCCAAACAGTCACACTATGGTTTCCACCAATCATAACAGGCAAAGATCATATCCCCAACTCCAACATCGTTTAAAGAGGAGCGGCAAAGGCAAATGGGCTGGATTAGCAGAGCATGCTAACAATTGATGATGTCATCCAGGAAATGTCACTGTGACGTATCATCTCTGATGTCAGGAAATTGACCTGTTGGTGGACATCCTTCATAATCCACAATGACTTTTGAAGACACTCGGACGATATCAGTTGCAACATTTAAGTTCACTTTCGGGGTAAATAAAGTATTTTTAAATATTAATATGAATCTGCCTCTTTAAGGTTGTGGTCAGTCTAATCTATTAATTAAAACACATCGAATGACGGTTTATCTCTTTCACTAAACTTTCCTGTAGCTTTCTTTGTATCCTGTCTCTAAAATGAGCTGAGTTAACAGCTAGCTGCTGGATTCTAGCTGATCTCAAAAAATTCAAACTGCTCCTTTAAGACGTGTTACACATCAGAGTATGAATAGGAACACTTCATACTGCAGGAGGTGTGCTTGTGTTAGTAGCTGCATTTCCATTACAAATGTGCAGAAATTTTTGTCAATATTGCTGCCAATGACGAAAACAAAAAAAAAAGTGCAACTGCAGCATTTCCATTAAATAAGAAACGCAATCAAATTCAAATGTGAGTAAGTTTGTTCACGGATGATACGCAGTTAAAACGTCTTTCTCCTGCAACTTCCGGTTCTATTCTTTGTTATTTCCACCAGTAGTAACATCTGGTTGTTGATTACGTGAGTGTGTGGTGCGTAAAAAGTGTTTCCATCGCAGTTTTTGTGAAATATGCTAATTTTTAAGTGCTGTGTTTCTGTTAAGCATATTTATTTTCTGAATTTCAATTTGCACAATTGTAAAATCAATGGGAATGCAGCTAGAGTAATCACACACACACACACACACACACACCTACATACACAGACATTTACACTGAGACTCACAGTAAAGCCGAACCAAATATCACAGTCAGCACAGGTTGACTACTGTCTGGGTCAAATCCTGTCAAGATGGAGGAAGCTAGAAGCTGAAGGCAGTGATGACAGCGGTGATGATGTCAGCGTTACATGTTGATGTGAAATGACTCGATTTGAAGCGATCGGGACAAAGAGGAGGAAAATGGGAGAGGGTGGGAGGAACCAGAGCTGAGAGACGGCTGAGTGGGTTCCCAGGTTTTTATATTTTTACAGAAACACGTATTTTGGAGAAAATCATCGGCCTTGTTGCACAAACCACGTGAGTTTTTATTGCAGGAGAGGACACATTGGTTTCACATACGAGGAACCATCAGCCTTCCTCCCACTTCTGGTTCAGTATCCTGCAAAACTCCTAATTTGAATGATAGATCTATCAAATGTGTTGCATTTTAAATGGAAAATGTCTATTACTTTTCTTTCAAGGAAAATCTCTTTTGCAGGACACCTTCATATTTTCTTTTGTATCTCAATAGAAAATGTTGCCTTCGGGCGTTAGTCTGTTGAACTGAGGATGTTTTCATGTCCTGCTCCAAACTAACAGACTTAGGGACGCACTGATCCACTTTATTCACTTCTGATCCCGATACAGATATCTGACGATTAGTATACTGATCTAATACAGAAAAACATTGCAGAATTGACTTTAAAAGTTTATAAAAAAAAAAAAAAACATGGACATAAATGTTCTGGATTACAAACTTATTTGATAACACCAGTCTAGCATACTTCAACACACCAATAGCTTCATAAGCCTGGTCAAACAGAGAAACAACTTTAATTTGTTCAATCTGTGCAATTATGAGTGCAAAAGCCAATTTAAAATAGGTAATAAAGAAACTGAAACTGACAAAAGCAATAGGTTGACTGCCTTGGTCAACCATAGAAAAATAAACTGCAACAAATCTTCTTTCAATGGTTCACAAAGTTTAATACTCGATCCAGAAATGTTTTAATATCGGGGCAGATGTAGATATGGATCTGGGATCGGTGCATCTCTAAACAGAATATCGATAACTCCTGAGCCGTAAACCTTCCCGTCACAACGTTTTGGAAGGAAACATGGAATCCGTCCCCAGCTCACAGACAAACTCTTCACAGAAAAGCCCGTCTTACCTGCGGCACGCCTATCTTCCTGCAGGCGTCCAGGAAGTTCTCCACATTCCGCCGGCACTTCGCCATGCTGAGCTTGGGCTGGAACGACAAGCGACAACAATCCGGGTGAGACGCCGCTCGGCTCCCGGCAGATTTAAACGCCCCGGCGTTTGTAACACGTACCACGGCGGGTGAGGGGACATGGATGCTGGCGACGGAGCGAGGGCGAATGTGATTGGCCAGATGGCAGAGGACGACGCCGTCCATCAGAGACGAGCCCAGGTCTTCAGGGAGGGCCACCTTCAGTCGGCTCTCGATGATCTGAGGAGGCAGGTTGGAAGGATAGAACTGGAAAAGGTCAAGTTTCATTGGTTATTTTAACGTTTCAGTCTTTTGCACACCTACATTTATGGATATTTCCAACTGTTTTAGAACATTCAACAGATGCTTCACTGCTTTTTTTTTTAAAGTGCAGCCCGAGGGGCCATTTCCAGCCATCCTTCAGAGGATGGAAACATGATAAACTGATTCATATGTGGTTTCTCATTTAATGGAAACACCTCAATTGGGAAGCTGTGTGTGTGTGTTGTTGTTTTTTTTTTATTACCAGGAACACTGACAAAGTTTAGCACACGTTTGTAATAGAAACGACTCTCCTGTCATGTGGGCTAACAAATGTAACCTTTTGTCCTCTGCATGTCCCTTTGCTATGTGAACGCAGCGGTTCGTTTAGAGTTGTCTCACTTCTCTCAGCTGCTCCATGAGCTCCAGCTCCTCCCTCAGCTGCTCCATCTTCCTCCTCATGGTGAACTGGGGGTCCACTGACTCCATGCTCTTGTGGCTCCGCAGGAACACTGCAGCAACAACAGCAGGACAGCGGACACAGACAGTAAAGAGGCTGCTCACACGGCACCGGGCTAAAGGGACACAACGCTGAGGGGGATAAAGGAGTCTGAGGAAGGGGTGGGAAGGACACCGTCCTAAATCTGAAGCAGTGATGACATCTGAAGTTAAGGGGTTGATGGAAATATCCATGTTGATTAATCCTGCTGTCTAAAAGTAGAGTTCGATGAGCTGCTGCGGTTTGCTGAACTGTGGAAGAGTTGGCCGAATCACGACTCAGGGGGAAGAAGCGTTAGGAAGCAAGGAAAGAAGAAAAAAAAGCGAGAAAGAATACAAGGACAAAAAGGAGCTGGGATCCTGAATTTTGTATCAGACATACTAGCTGGTATGACAATAAAAAAAAAAAATCCTAGAATCCTTGAACACAAGTGCAGATACAAGGAAGGGAGAAAGGACACAAGAAAAAAGGGAAAAGAGATCCAAAAAGCAAAGGGAGGAAGAAAAGAAGAATGTAAATAAAGCTGCAATGAAGGGAGGAATGGCAAAAGGAAGGATGCAAAATAGAAAGAATAGGAAGGAGAGAAGGAAGGAACGGAAGACGATAGAAAGTTTCTAAAACACACTGATGAAGATCATTAAAGCAGGTTTCCATGCTCCTCTGCTGGTTCATCAAATATTCTGACCTGAAGCTCCGAGCTGCTGCCCGTCACTGTGTGCAGTTACTTCCACATTATTCACCTGAACTAGGTTTTTACGTCAGACCCTATGAACGGTCATCATCAGCTTCCTTCAAGACGTTCGAGTCACATTCAGGTAAAAGGTTGATTCATTTCATATGAAACTTTCTAAATGTTTTCAACAACTAGAGGAGTTAAAACACTCAATAAAAATGCTTTCACCACATGAACGTGGTCTCACACACACACACACACACACACGATTTCACTTCCTCCCAGCAGTCCCACTGACACAATTAAAAATGGCTGCCAGCCATAAAGCATGCAGAGCGCTTATATAAGCGTTGCGTTCACATGCAGCCATGCAGTCGGAGCTCGGAGTGCCGCCAGCTTGGACTTTGAGCGCAGAGTGCTCATGTGACTTGACCGCTGTAAACGGAATGGGAGGAACTCTGGGAAATCTGGGAATGTTTCTCACAATCACCTGCTGCACGTTATCATGACAGAATTCACAAATAGGGCTCCCGTTATTAGAAAGGATCTGATGGCTGGTTGTTGCTTTTTTTTTTACTTACTACAAACAAGCCAAATTAAATCCTCTAACTGAGCTGAACTCTTAAAGAGATTTCCCCCCCAAATTCTTGCTTAAGAAAGAAACAAAAATCTGATACATGATCAAAGCAACGACTTAAAACGATCAAAGGGTCGGACTGCGACTGAATTCAGGTTAACAAGGAGAAATACAGATGAACACGGGCTTGAACGGCGGGAGCGTTCCTGAACTGAGCGTGAAACATGTTCAACCTCTTCACAGACGCTGAATCAAAACACACGCCCACAAACACGAAACACCCACACACACTCTGAATGATTCACCTTCTCGCTGTCCCCATTTTCTACCCTGCACTGCTGAAACTGAAGGAAGTCTAACTGCATGCAGGTTCCCTGAACGGCCACAGCAGGGAGCCGCAGGTCCACTGCAGGGCAGGAGGATCCGGGATGTGGAGTCGAGTTTTAGAAGGAAGATTTTTCTGCTGGGATTAAACAACTCCCATTATTAATATGTATTAAATCATTAAAAAAAAAAAAGACAATGAACAAACTACAACAGCGTTGTTTTTTAAAACAAAAGAAAAAGGTTTGAGATTAAAAACATATCCTCAGAGTGGTGACCATTGAAATGACCTCCTGGTATCCTTGCAGTGCATCATGGGAAGGTTTGATATTCCCCAAAAAATAATCCAGGACACAAAATCAAACTTTTGGAGAAAGTTCCAGTGAAGTTTTACATCCAAAACAAGATGAAACTCCACTTTGCTCCATTTCTGCTTTCAGTAGGAAGAGCGTCAGGAAAGCACTCTGATTGGCTCCAGATAAGCTCTTACAGTAAAAACTACCGGAGTTAAAAACACTCTGTAATAGTGAGTGTAACAATAGTTACTAAAAAAAACATTGTGAGTGGATGACATCAGCTCTCTCTTGTTGCTACATGCTGCTTCTCCCCTCAGTGCTGGTGCTGCTCGGCATTCTGGAAATCTGCTGACCTGCCTTCATCCAGCCCCCGTCAGCTGAAATGCGTGTATCACTGCGGTTTATGTTTCGCTGTGAATTTTAAAAAGCTTGCTGTGAACGACGGGAGATGCAGAAAACGCTTGGAGAAGGGTGTGTGCGCTTCCAGGTCAGAATATAAGTCTGAACTTTCCTTCATTTTCTCTCCCTTCACACATCAGCGGACAGATAGGATCTGCACAATGCCGCCCAACTGGCCTTAAGAGAACAGTGTGGGTGTGTTTATTTCTACCCTGAGATCTGTGAAATCTCAGTTTCCTTCTGGTAGGAGAAAGCACCGCCTGGGCCAAAGGTCACGGGTTCTGCTGATCTTTCTCCCTTTTTCTTTCTGCGTGTTCAATGCAGATCCGATGGCAGAGCGGTCACATGGACCGGTCACTGTATACCACAACCAAATGCAGGACTAATGAGGTCAGAGGCGCCAATGATGGCGTAATGATGTCACTCTGCCAGAGGCAGGAAGAAAGTACGGAGTGTTAGTCATAATCGTATCACACACACAGATAAGCTGCTTATTATAAAACAACACTTGAGTGGGAGAAAGCTCTAGTTCCACACTGAACAGATCATAGAGAGAGTGATCAAAGGTACTTTATCAATAAGGAGTTATTTATATTAATAATTAACATTCCTCCCATGGCAACCATGCAGGTGTACAAAACGCCTGGGTGGGCCAAGCCCCGCCTCCAAGGGTACAGCTCCTCCTCCAAGCTTCCAGTTTCAGAGCAGCCTTCCCTCATGAGTGGGGAAGCCTTGAGAGTCCCACACTCAGCTCTTTCAGACTAGCCAGCAACAATTAGCAAACACCTGGTAGAACTATGCATCTGCTGAGCTCATTATAGGAGCTACTTCTCGGTGAAACGCTGGTAAAATGATGTCAAAGGGTTAGTAGAGGAGCCATGTTGTGATGACTTCCTGAAGGCGGAGTTTCACAAAGAGCATGCACTTCTGAAAGGGACAAAGGCCCAATTTCAAAGTGTTGAGCCAGGAAGAAGTCATGTTTTATGTACTCATCATCAAGAATTGAAGGTAATATAGTTACTTGATTGTGCCATAAAATGGCACTATGTGACAAGAAAACACAAAACCTCTTTTAATAGTTATCTGTTAGTTTATCCCTGAGTATAAAACAGTACATGATGAAAACTCATAATCTGCAGCTAGAAAATGTTATTGGCAGATTAGCCTGTGAACATTTCAGAATAGATTCAGGCCTGTTTGTGAGAGAAGCAACAAAAGAGAGTGAGCAACCTCCTCCACAACTCAGAGCTGCTGCCACATATTAGAGCCTTTTAAGGACCAGCAGAGCAACGTGCAGCTAACCTCTTAGCTGCTAACACAAGCTGGGTTGTTTTTCCCCTACAAGTTGGCATATTAATCCACAAAGCACTAAAAGGTGTCAACAATTCTGATGATAGTATTAGATGATTTTCAATGCGGATCCCAAATTTAATCCGGGCAGAACATGCGCAGAAGTTTCGAGACTTTAATCAAATCAGCTGATTTTTTCTTGTAGCTTCTGAGCGGCCCTCACAAAGACAGAAAACACGAGCAGTCACTTTACCGCGGCTGTGATCCATCTGAAATGTTGAGACCCCGTTCCAGTGGAAGTAGGATGCTCCTTCCGGGACCATTATCCAACACTTCAAATATAGCAGCTAAAAATAGACAGACGCACAAAAACACACCACTCATTCATGGTGCAGATGTTACACACACGCACACACAAGATTAAAGGAGTGTCACAGTTTCCTAATATGGCCTTCAATGTCTCACTGTTTTTGTGTATGATTGCTATGTTTAAGGCTTTAATTTAAAAAAAACTGCTCCTTCTGTTGCATTGGTATGTACTGGAAATAAAAAAAAGGAAATAAAAAAAGTTTCTTTTTTTTTAAACGAAGCTCAAAGTGAACATAATATCTTGTTCTGTCAGTTTAAAAAGTTTCTAAAGCCAACAGAGGATTGTATTCTGAGGTGCAACGATGCTTTCAGATTGTCATAAAACAGCTTAGTAAAATTTGTGTAAAATTATACAGTACGTCCAGCAGTTCTCCTTTAAAATGCTAATTGTTTTGTGGTGTATAGAAAATGAACCCTTGAAATAGCATTTCAAAAGCTGCAGGAGCCTACTTGCAATAATTCTTTACTCACAGTAAACACGAATAGGCTGAAATGAAGCTCAGATGGTTTTAGCTGGGTTTTTTTGACTTTCAGCGCTGATTTGAATTCTTTGTTGTAGTAAAACAGTTTGAAGAGTGGCAGCAAAGGATCCCACTGCACAAAGGTATCAGTCAGGGGAAGACATAAGCATTAGATAAAGGAGGCATACTGCTACAGGTCTCGTGGTGACCATAATGTCACACAAGAACTATTTACACTTTAAATCTTTAAATGAATAAAATATAAATCAATAATAAATAACTTTTGGAAACCTGATTTCAGGCGTAATTATTAATATTAAAAGCAATAAAAATATAAAAGTAGAGAAAAAAAAAAGTGGAACCAGTGTTTGTGCTACAGCAGAAGCTGATATCTACAGTCTTCCATATTTTCAATCAGCAGCAAGGAAATTTAAAGGATGCTCCTGGATTGGCTGCTTTGCAAATACCAGTCAATGGCGCCTTAAATAGGCATTTTAGCTATCAAACCGTGTTTTCCTTCACGTATTCTAGACATGCTGCACCAAAAAGTCTGCATATCTTCCTGTTTGCTAGAGGAATGTTCCAAAGGAAAAATCTGCAAATGCTCAACTGTGGTTTATAATTTACAGCAGCGTTTTACCCCTTTGTCAAACTTAAATATCAGTTTGCTTTTGATTTTATTTACTTCAATAAAACACACAATACAACATAAATACGTAAAATAAATAGGATGTCTTTGCCTTGTAGTTTCATTTACCACCAAGAAATAAAAAGTTCAGACGTTTTATTACAGCAATAAAAAGAAATCTGTGTTTCTTCTTCTCCATCATCTGAACAAACTCTCACTGTCATCACTTAATGAGCCAAGTCTCAGCTCAACATGTGTGTGACCACATGAGTTTCTAACACACACACGCACCACACACACACACACACCACCCACACACACCCCCCCCCCCCCCCCCCCCCACACACACACACACACACACACACACAGAGAGCAAACCTAACATTTACCACATGTCTCCACTAGTCAGCAGCTACCGCAGAACATGAACAGCTGGAGATGAAAGCAGATGTGGCAAACCTGCTCTTTGATCAGAGATGGCTTCGTATACACACGCGTACACACACACGCGTACACACACACGCGTACACGCACACGCACCGAGGCATCTAATGTGAAACAGCTTGCCGGGCGGGACGGGGACAGAGAATGGCAAAATCAAATGCAGTTTCACACAACATAAGATTCACAAGATTCATTTTGTAGGTTTTTTTGTTTGTTTGTTTTTGGGAGACTTTAAAATCCAGAATTTAGTCAAAGAAGCATTTTTAAGTGCATCTCCAAACAATTATCACAAGAAAAATTACGTGGAGCTCAAACATTTCAATATGTTAAACTGGAACCCAACTAGATCATTAAACTTGCTAATATCCATTCAGATTGTGGTAAATTAAGGAATGTAGAGAAACGTGGGCAATCTGTACGCTTGACTATGAAATCTCAGCAGTCTGCAGAATGTAGGCTACTGATGTCCATCGAACGTTTTCACAGGACACCTGAGTAAGAGGGAGCAGTTTCATGTTTTTCCACCATGACTCATAACTACTTAAAAATAATAATAATTATAAAAAATCAGGGTAGAGAGAATGAGCAAATCACCTCAAGAGGAAATTGAGGATAAACGATGAACAGTCACATCATTAGTTGGAAGTATTTTGGGCATTTAAAACAGCAACAACAACAAAACCAATCAGTAATTGCCAATATCGACTGATATGAAACACTTAGATCACGATACGTATTTCAACCGTATTTAAAGTACCGTATTTTCCAGACTATAAGTCTGTAAGTCGCACCGGAGTATTAGTCGCATTTTTCAGAGAAATTTATTTGATAAAATCCAACAGCAAGAACAGACATGTCATCTTGAAAGGTAATAAAAATAGAATAGAGGCAACAATAATTGCAATAATTGTACGGTATGCTAATGTTACATGACAAACAACGAACTGAGAACATGCCTGGTAAGTTAGCATAACATATTGAGAGATATAGCATAAATAACATGCTGGCAAGTTTACCAAACCATCCGTGTCTCTCCAAATCACTAAAAGCAATAAAATCTTCGTCCTCAGTGTCACTTGTAAACAACTCCGCCAACTCCGAAGGTAGAATAACACAAGCCTAGAGCGCCCTCTTGTGGTTTAGTGTGAAAATAACATGTGAAATGATATGATGTGTTAATTTCCACACATAAGTCGCTCTAGAGTCAGTAAGTCGCACCCCCGGCCAATCTATGAAAAAAACAGCGACTTGTAATACAGCATATACTGGAGCTCTTCATTATGCTATATTGCCAAAAATGACCAGCATCGTAAATCGGATTTTGTTTAAAATAAATGGAAATTTTATTTTTCAGGCATATCTGAAATCCACTGAGATATTCACTGAAAAAGTGAAGTTATGAAAAACTGAACATCAAGCACGTTTTTACATTAGTAATAAGAGTCGTCTACCCACATATCAGCTATTAGAATAGAACAGATTAACCTTTGTTGTCCTAAAGTGTGGAAATCCAGGTGTGAATCTGAATTAAGTGAAGAAGAGCACATTGGACCCGTCAGTCTAGGTGTGTGTGAACTGACCAGTAAACAGAAAAAAAGTGTCTCACCCGCGCTGAGCATGCCTCCGTCGCCTTGTCTACGATGTAGGGGTGAGGCCTGTGAGAGGAGGGAGGGGTCTAGACAGGAAGGAGGGGGTGAGCACGGCAGTGAGGGCGGGGCTACAACCACGAAGTGGGAAGTGATAACAGGAAGTGATGGCAGGACCGTGTGCAGTGAGAGAGGTGCCAAAGATGAGCACAGCAAGTTCATTCCACGTCAAAAAAACACCCGAAAAAAATAAAAATAAAAATATAAATCACCAAGTTCAGGGGGGAAAAAAAGGTCAAAGAGAAAATCAGTTACGAATCAATGACAGCGTTATTGATTCAGAAGTTCAGGCAGGTCAGAGACGGGGAGTTTTGGGGAGTTTAACACCAAAGACATGCGGGAGGAGCATAAAAAGGAGGAACAAAAATAAAAATAAAAGACACACAAAACACAAAGAGCACAAAACAAAAATAAAGATTAGTGGCATTTCACAATACACATCACTCTGACATGCTGTTAGCATCATGTTAGCTTCATTAGCAGTTAGCAGCACACTGACATAAGCTAGCACACTGACATAAGCTAGCAAACTAAACTGTCAAAAAAAAAAAAAAAAAAAAAAAGGCAGCGCAAAGCGCAAAATTCATCCTGATGGTACAGATAAAAGCAGACGGACCGAACCACAAGGCTGGAATTGACTCGCCCACACTAATCAGTCCAATCCTAGCACTACTCAGCCACATTTTTGGCCTGAAACACTTCTTTTTTTTTTTCTTTTTTTTCCAGCTCACCCGAGCGAGGTTTCAGCCCAAACGGCGGACTGGAGAGAGACGAAGATCCCATGGTTGGAGATCGATGTTCTTGCTGAAACAACAGAAATGACATCATTGTTTTAAATAGTTCACCATCAGTAAATTAACAGAATCGACACATAAAGTCATCCAGCACATGGGAGCAGTTTGCATAAACTCCTAAATGACTCAGCAGAGATGAACTAAAAACAAAACAAAACACAGAAACACATACAGTTGTGCGATGAAGCTTTATCAACAGAATTTCACTGGTCAAAACTACTACTTTATTTTCATAATTTTCTATTTTTAGTGTGACCACAACACTTTGTTGTAAAAACATCTCAAAAGGTAAAAATGAAATAGCGTGCTAAGCTAATGCTATATAGAAGATCCCAGTACTGATAAGAGACCAAACTCGCCTGCAAATACTTAAAATCAGTAAATACTTTAATTTGTCTAAAATGATTACTAACTGCCTATAATAATAGTTTACACACCAAATATAGCGTCACGTCATGTATTAATATACATAGTGGAAATCGCATTAGCACATTAAGTAAAATAAGTCCGGGAATAATGTGGAGTTGCATTTCACAGAAAACTCCACGAATATGTGACTTATGGGCTTCACTGAGAAAACTTTGTTTCCCAGACTTCGTCTCAATCTCATCAACCTAATATTGTATCGTTCTTTCCCATGTGCTGAACAGATTGTTACATAAATGTCCAGTCAGGCTGACATTATTTTGCAAGGAGTGGGGAAAAACAAAATTCCGTCAGCAGAATAGGAGTTCATTCAAGTCCTATTCATTTGTCAGGGTGTCGGTTTCTCCACGGTCGATAAAGAGCTTCATTCCTCCTGAAGTGAATGACCGGTGGCGATGTGCAGCGAGACAGACACGTTTCTAGTCCTCACATGTGCAACAATGAAATGCGACACATATGAAGAGAGGGGGAGTGGGGGAAGCTCAGCCGTCGAACACAACACAGCTAACGGACTCTGCTGCCACGGTTACCTTCAGGGACATATGCCACTCATAGTCCCGGCACGCAAGCTGGGCCTCAAAGCGGGCCTTTTCTAGAATCATCCGCCTCTTCTTCTGGAACTCATAGCCTCCCTCCTCCATGCGCTGCCACAGGACGCACCCAAACGTTCAGGCGACAACTCGTTAACGTTTCTTATATTCTTATGGGCTTTACTCTTCACCAACAACAAAGTTACATTCTGAACAGAAAGTTGGGTTTTTCAGGATAAAAAGAAACAGAGGCTGCAGTTTGATAATGAGAATAACCGTAGAATGGAGAATGGTAACGTCTCTAAGTCGGAAGAATATTCAGCTTTGACTACTTTAAAGTTTAAAAACTATTGTTCTAAGGATTTATATAATCACAACGTAATAAGGTTCGGTTAACTTGGAAACAATATAAGATATTACTGTCACTAGCTGTGTTTCAGGTTACAAATGTGAGGAAAAACTTTATCCATATTTCCCCAATGCAGAAAAAAACAAATGAAACAATTATAATCACAAGTAAATAAGTTTGTAAATAAGTCCTTAAAAATATCATCCTACTCCCACTTCCTGTTGTCTTTACTGTCATTTCTGCCAGTACTAATGTCCGATTGTTGATTACGTGACTCATTTAATACCCAAAAAGTGTTTCTGTTACAGCGTTTGCGAAAAACACAAATTTTGATGCGGCCGAAAACGCGCATCATTCTTGCGTCAAATTTTTTTGCCTTTTTTTATTTCTTCCAAATTGTCGTGTTTCCATGAAGCCAATTCATTTTCATAATTCCAATTAGCGCAATTGTTTTGTCAACAGAGATGCAAAACATCTCCGTTGACAAGACGTAGTAACCAGTCATAGTCATTCTTCCAACAAACGTGAAGTACTGTACCTTCTTACCGAGGACTGTGTGAGTCATGACCGTTATGACATGCTAACAGCTCAGAGATGATATGCCACAGTAAAATATCCTGAATGGCATTCAAATGTTAGCAAGCTCTGCTAACCCACCTCCTTTGCTTTTGCCACTGCTCTGTAAATTTCTGTCTGGTCGTATAGTTGGAAATCGGGGCAGAGAGACTTTGGAGTCATAGATATGACTTGTTTTGATTCTTTCTCTGTTCTTCGATTCAACCAAAGAAATCACAAACAAATGTCTACAAAAAGAACAAATCAGAACCAACACATGAGATCTGTTCCAACATGCAGGTGTAATGGCATCTTTGGTGACATCTAGTGGTAAAACTGCAGAATACAAAAAAAAGTCTGACCATGTGTGTCCCTGGCAGGGAAGTTGGAGAAAACAAACATGTTGAGTCCTTTAGAGTCAGCACTTGGTTTGTCCATTCCAGGCTACTGGAACACTAAAACCAGGGTAATAACTCAAATATTTGTGTCATGGAAATGACTTTTATTAAGAAAAACAGCAGCGATATTATGAATATTTACTACTGGAGGCGACTGATTGAGGCATTACTGTTTTATTTCGAAATATAAACTCCTAAAACAGATTTCTAAAAAGAGTCAAACTGAAAATGTTTTCTACAACTATGTAAATGAGCAATTTGATAAATAAGTTTACACTTGGAAAACTCGACATTAAAAAACATCATCTGTCACTAAGCTTTAGTGTTATTACGTGGGCTCATGTTATGGTGTCAGATAGTGAAGGACAGTAGAGTACCAAAGCCTGTCTGACTCTAAGATAGAAACGTTTTGGCAAACCGTACCTTTGGTGTTGTGCTTCCCTCATCGTTGTCTTGTCCGCTGAGAAAAACAAAGCAACAGACATAAGACAAGAAAACATCTGGATGTTCTGGGGTAAACAAAATAATAAGTTCACAAATGACAAAATGACAAGTTTAGCAACTTGTCATTTCTAAACTTGTATTTAGAAATGACAAGTGTTTCTAAATACTTAAAATATAACTTCAGCATTCCTGGTCTGTTTACATTGTGGAAACGTACTTGAAGGACTCCTCCACGGTGACCATCTCCACCGGGTACAGCTGGACTTCAGACAGATCATCCTGCTCTGCGCTCACTCTGAAACGTAAAGGTTAAACACCTGCCGTTTTACACCTGCCTGCTGTAGCTGCTGCTGTTGACAAAATGAAACCTGGAATCAAATTCTGTAAGAAGACTGCAGGTTTCAGCAACTCAAATTGAAGACTTTCTAAGACCACTATGAATGGAATTTAGGACCTTTATTGCTGAAACCAGGGAACAGAAATATACAAAGATGCACGACTTGGTAGCAGAAGTGAGCTAATGGCTCACATCCTCTAGCCAACTGGCGATTAGTTTGAACTTGATTTACTTTTGCTAGTGAACTGAAATAATCTCAGAGTCTGAGTTGGACGTTTATAATTCCCGTCGTCTCACCTGCTGGGGTTCTGCAGCAGCTCCACCGCCTCCTGTAGCTGGTTAATCATGTCAATATGGAGCTCTGTGCCCCTCGAGACCTTTGACCTGTCCAAAAAGACAAACCGGACACATAAGCAGAACATATCTGCGGGGCAGAATAAATAAAACAGGTGAATCTCCCCTGAAGAACCTGCCTCTGCTCTGTCTGCCAGTGTGAGTCTTCCTCTATCCTGAGGGGCTCTTCGAAGTCCGCTGCCGTTCGGCCCTGCGCGCGCACACACACACACACACACACACACACACACACCCACACACACAGAGGTCAGCGCCAGCTGCACCCGTCACATGACACACAGTTTCCTCAGAATTCAGAGACGCCAGCGCCATCTCTCCCCTACAATAAGCTGTCTGTTTTCTTCATCTGCTCTTTAAGATACTTGATTGATATGGTGTCATTTAATGCAAAGGCTTTGGACAACTGGGAGAAGATTTAACAAAGATAAAATGAAATAAAATAAAATAAATCATTAAGGGATGTGTTGATGAGATAAATTTTATACTTATTTTATGAGCCATAATTATGAAATTTAGCTTCTTTTTTTGTTAATTCACTGAAAAATCTGATCTGAAGCAGTAAAAGCTGGAACAGAAGCACAATTGCTGTTCAACAAAATTGACTCAAGATCACAACTGAGTCAGAAGTTATAGATTACTAATAGTCAGTTGATCAACTTAAAAAGTAAAATGTACGTTGAAAAGTGCTTCAGTTACCTATTTTTTAAAAGGATTGCTAGATGCAAACAGCTGTGCATCTCTAGCACAGCTGTTTGCTATCCAAGTACTTTTATTTCACCACTGAATAAAAGTACTTGGATCTTTCAAACTGTCTAGTGTGACATTATACTGCTGCGATAAAATATTAATTCATTTCACGTCTTCTGAGAGGAAATCCATTCAGTCACCACGACAGCTCGACATAGCTCCCCCCAGAGAACAGCAGTACTGGTGGAGGTCATTTCCTGCACCGTTGCTGCAGCAGAAGCATCAGCGCTGCGGCGGGACGCCTTGCCTTGATGTAGCCGATGAAGCGGCTGCTGAGAGACGAGTCTCTGTAGGTCAGCGGGTCATTCAGGGCTTCCGTAGGACTCTCTTCTATCAGGCGCACCGAGTCAGAGTTCGGGTCGGCTGTAATGAAACGAATGTCAGAGTTCGGAACCGACGGATCGATGTTTTAGAAAAGGGTTTTATGATTTTCAGAGGTGCTAAATATACAGCAGGAAGTGACCAGCTTAGCATTAAGAATCTTCACTGAGTGAGACATAGAGAGCTGGTTTTGACCGACCAGAAACACTGATATCACCAGATACACTTGAAATGAGACAAAACCAACTTTTTGTAACTTTTCAGCAAGATATAGGATCTTGTTTAGGTGAATAATTTCTCAATATTAACAAAAAAACTATTTTAATTAAGAGGTTTTTCTCTTATACCAAAACATTTTTCCCATATTAGAACTTTGAAAATCTGCTTTTACTTTTTTTGGAATTAATATTAAGAAATGACTGACTTAAAACAAGCTCCTATATCTTGCTGAAAAATTACTCTCAAGTTAATACACTAGAAATGAGGCAAAACTAAGATATTTGCAGGAGCGACTAGACAAAAAAAGTACTTGGTAAGATTTTGTGGTTTTTTTGCTTTTTACAGTTTATTTCTCTCAAAATCTTTCACATCTTTCACATGTCCAGGTTTGAATGTTTTACTGGAATTTTATGGAACAGACCAACACAAAGTAGTCTTGCGTTATTTTATGACAGACGGAAATAAAAATCTTTAAACGTTGGGAATCATTTGAATCCATCTAATTAGTTCAGCCAATTAGTGCTGTGATTCAATAAATCTCTGTTAGCAAACTGTTAGCAAACATAAATTACCCAGAGAGCCCACTTCTTCCTCTCGTCGGCTCAGGGAATGTGACACTCCATCAGCTTAACCTAATTAAGGCTGATTGAAGTCTATTTAAACTGTGTGTCCTGGGAGCTGCTGCTGTTCTCCATTAGGGCTCGGACCGTCCCTACGATGCGAGCCACACACACCCATCACATACCCATGCTACCAGCTGGACCAGTGGCAGGGTCGGCGGAGAAACGGATGGTCTTTCTATGACTTCAAACCAACTCAACAAGCTCTAAACACACACACATACACACACAATCACTTCAACTCAGAGAGAAGACAAAGTTGGCACCGAATCTTTGGCTGACTAATGGGGAGACTCTGGACTCTCACCCGATTCTGCACAGTTAAGAGCCTCTTGATGAACTACAGCTCACTGCGGTCCAGACACAATGAGGCAGACAAGTGATGAAGTTCATCCTCTGACCCAACTGCTCGTTCATATTGTGGCTGTCATTTAGCCAAATAGCAGCTTTCATGAAGTTATGCAATAAGCACTTTGGGGTCTTGCGTTCAAGCAAACTTGCTATTGATCTGACTGACTTCCATTAAAAAAAAAGAGAAGGAGTGGCCTAGTCAAAATCTAGACTTAATCCAGATGCTGCAGTGGGGACTATAAACAGGGTGTTCATGCTTGAAAACCCTCCAAAACGTCAATGAGAAGCATGCCAGAATTCAGAATACGCAAAAACCTTTGATGGAAACTGCTGCCCAGAATTATTCCAGCGCATTTCGAGAGCTTACTCAAAAATTTTATTTTGCATTTAAGTTTGGACACCCTTAAACTAATATGATGTGTTTGTTTTCATTTCAAGATTCAGTTATCTTTGTTGGGAGTACATCAGCAGCTCAGGGTTTCCCCAAGTGCATTATAAGCCTGGCGACCCGCCAGGCTTTACCTGCTTCCCCACCAGGCTAAGTGTTGTTTGTTTGATTAAAGTAGGTTTTTTTACGTAACAGTGACAGTAAAAACAGATTAAACGCGGTTCCCAGTTAGTAGACTATCGTTGAACTAACTATACGCCACACAATAATTGTGAAAACAGCCGTATTGAAAATCAAGCATTTTCAAGAACTTCATCCGTACGAACCCTGTTTTTGGTTTTTATGTTAGCATTACTGCTTCTTTTTTTCGGGTGCAGCACTTTTGCCAATGACAGTTGTTCTTAAATAAATTTGGATTGATTTAGTTTTGTACTTTGGCTAGATTAATTCAATTTTTTTGGCAAAGAAGGTGCGAGGAATTGGATTTAAACTTTGACTCACTGTTACTGCTTAAAAATATATATTCTTTAGCAGCAGGTCTGAAGGTCTTGGAGCAAAACTGATATTTGAAATGCTCAAAATTCACATGCAAAAAACATCCATATAAGATTTTGGCAGACTTTAGTCAGAACTGAATGGTCTCACAACCTTACTGTTTTCTGTGCCACTCTCCTGACTGATACCTTTGTACAGTAAAAACCTTCTGCCCTCTCTACAGCTTCAACTAAAGGCATCAGAAAATTGTCAAAAAAATAAAAAAATCTTTATTTCCACTTCATTGGAGTCACTTTAACTCCTACCTGTCAGGGAGCTGATGTGTTCACTGGAGTCGTCTTTGCTGATTCCCTCCTCTTCTGTAATGTTGCTCATCGGCACGTTGAGACTCAGACTGTCTTCGTCTGAAGGCTGCAGGAAGCAAAACGATCGTGAAAAATATTATTTCCACAAATTACAACACACGTCCTTCTCTTTCTATGTCTGAAATCAGATTTTTTTTCCCCCCATATGGATTAAGATAGCATTATCGAATATTTCATCAACAGATTTCAGTTTTTCAATTATTAAACATCAGTTTTTCCCTAAAACTGACGTTACACAAACAGAAAACATGAAAAGATGTAAAATACGAAATGTGGCTAAATCCTCAGCATGGAACAGCAGGTGCAGCCTGATTAAAGCAGAAGTCTGGACAGACGTGAGGATGAAACCACGGCGACACAGATGCATCACATACCTCGGTGGCAGACAGCCTCTTGTCTCCGTTGTCACTGCCGACTCCTGAGTCGCTGTCCTGCTTCTTCTGTTGCTCCATGTCCTCCACACTGCACACAAATTACACAGGTTACACACCTGACACACACACGCACACACAGGAGTGTGTGTGTGTGTGCACACTGAATGAGAGCGACACACTGAAGCAGAGGAAGATACCAACCCCTCCCTCTCTCGCTTCCTCCTCTCTCTCCTACAGGATTCCTTTTTCACACAGCTTAGGAAATAAACACTCAACTTGTTTCCTTTTTTATTGTACTTTATGTTCGGGATATAACGACACATTCATAAGACATGATTAGATTAGATTACTGTTTAGTGAAGGTTTCACACGTCCCAAACAGTTTAAAGACACTGGAATCAATGTACATCACTGAAGACCAGTAAAAAGCAGCTAAATCTTTTGCATGTGGATAAAAGAGTAAAACTCAACACAGATGGTCTTAGAGCCTTCCTTTTTTGACATATATGAAATAATATGGCCATCTTGAAAAATGACAGTGGGAAATATAAATAATATACAAACTGAACAGTGAGAGTGCTAATTTTTATGCTTGTATCCAGACTTGAAAGATTTTTACAGTGATATGCTGCACTGGAATCACAGAAAGCATTGAGGTTACTCTTTCTTTGCGTCTTCACAAACAGAATTATAAGTAACTCCAAACTGTGGTTAAACAAATCTCCTGTTCATTACATGACTCTCAAGTTTTGCTATAACGGTTCATCGAATGATTCAATTACCCGGATCATTACAATTCCTCTAGGAATATTACCTTCAATTATGTTTTGCTATTTAGTCCAATTTATTTTCCACCAAAATGTGTTACAGTGACAGGTCTGCAAGAGGCAACAAGGTGAGGGGCAACGAGTTTTAGCTTTAGCTTTCGTTCCTTCCCGTCTCAAGGTTAAAAAGTTGAATGAAAATGCAGTATATGCTGAGACATTAGGGTTCTTTTTTTTCTCTGCTCTATATTAGAACTGGATGTGGACCGTTTCTGGGTCAGTCCCTCACACACTTCTTCTTTTCTCTATCTTCAGCGACAGAATATATCTAAGATTACCACCACTTTTAAACTCTCCTAATCCTAAATGAACAAAGGAAAATAAAACAACAAAAACAAAAGACAGGAAAACAGAAACAGAATGTGTTTGCTCCACTGAGCGTAACGGCACTTTTCTACATGGGAATAGAAACATTTTCTGTTTTGGCCAAGTGCTTGGTGAAGCTGGACACTTCAATGTCCTCTGAGAGCTGGGCTCACTTTCAGCTGAGAGGCCAGAAAGCCAACACAGGCTTTTCATCCCTCTGTTTAGTTTTGCTTCTCCCTTCATTTCTTCCTGACCTTTCATCAGACCTTACAACTTCCATTTTATTCTTGATTCCATCAAGTTTGCAATAAAGAACCGAGTCCTGAGGGCCACCGTTAAATCGAGACGGTTTTTAATGCACAAAAGCGAAATAAGCAGATCATTTGTAACTAATTGGAATGTAATAAAATCTGTTTCCTGTTTCTTTGAACAAGTAAACTATTAGACTTCCTTCATTGTCACTGCATGAAGATACGATTCTGAATCTGGTAACGTAATGTCATTTAGGTTTTTGCTTTTATTTGGCAGGACAAATCAGTTTCAGATGACTAATGGAGAGTTTGGCCACAACCTGGGGAAGTTCAGGTCTCAGAAAGCTGTTCTGATCCAATAGACAGCTTTACTTCTGGAAAAAAAACCTTTGGAAACTGTCATCAGTGAAAGAAATTCATTAAATTTATGTATATCGAAAAGAATATGCTATATTTTAATTTACATTGCTTCAGCATTAGCATTCTTGATTAGCGTCTTCTACGCAGACCTAAAAGACAAGCATTCACCATGCTAGCTAGATTGGAAATTCTTTTTTAAAAGAATTGAACGACAAGCCAGGCAGACATTTTTGATTCACTGTTTGAGAGCACACATTTTCAGTCTGAAAGCAGGATTTTATGTCTTTCTTCTCAAAACTTGTAATGTTTGTACTCAAAGCTTTCTACTTGCTTTTGGAACCGCCTTTTGGCACAGTCGCCAGGTAAACTCTCAGCCAATAGAAAGAAAGTGTTGTACTGGGTGTGCCTTTCTGGCAACTATCAATTGTAGCAACCTGCGCCACCCACTGGATGTCGGGAGTTGGTTGGGTGAACAAACTTTAAGACAATATCTTGCAACCACAGCAACTAAGATGAAGAGCAGACTTTTTTCCCTTTGAGGGCGATTGCACGCCAAGTCAGAAGCAATGTAAAAGCCAGAGAAACGTTTAGGATTAAGTCAAACAGATTTCTAGAACAATAAAAAAATGATTTTAACAGGTTTGGTTTTGGTTCCAATTTGACACTGAATACATGAAAGAGAAAGCAGGTTTAGAAAGTTTCACTATGATAAAAAATGTCATACGCATATTTGACATTTTGTTTCTCTTTAAGTATGACTAATCGTGACTGCAAGACAGATGTTTTTCTACTGCTGTTACTGAAGGCCGATTTCTGATGGTTTGTCAACAGTAGAAATTAAGTCTGGAAGAAAAACTGTACAGCCACGCAGCAAAAAAAAACAACAACAAACGTGAGAAGCACCTTGCAACTGCAGAAACATTCTCCTGTGCGACGTACCTGCCAGTGGAGGGACGAGTGAAACTGAGTCGCTCCATGACAGGGAGGTACAGCGAGTCGGGCATCTTCTCGCTGCGACACGCCTCGATGCTCAGATACTTGAATATGTGGACTTTACCCTTGATGCAGATCTGCAGAAACAGAGAGTCTGATCAGGATGAGCCGAAGGACAACCGGTCCAAGCCGAAGGTTAGTCAAGCTTCAAGTAGCTTTCACCTTTCTTCATTCTTTGATGTACAACAAGATCAAAATCAGATACAGTGTTTTCACTGAACTGATAACGGCAACAAACCTTTGTTAGAGCTCTGTTTTTGTTGTTTTATTTTGTCACGTTGTTTTTCCGCTCTCCTTTACAAAAATTCAACATACCTCTAGGAAATTGGAGTAAAATGGGCAAATCCAAAAAAATCTCTATTATTACATAAAAAGATCCTTTTCCAAACAATATTTTTTATTATTAATAGAGGAGAATATTAATTTTAGGTTTTTATATCTGTCAAAACTGCCACTATGTCCTGACAATAGAATATGAGATCAATCAGAAAAAAATTGAAAAAAATCAAGCGCCTCCTCCTCCCTGGTGTCCTACTGCCATTTGCAGAAATTGATTGGAAACAAACAATCAGAGCCAGGAGGAGGGTCTTAGGCTTTCAATTAAACATGTGTATGTGCTTCTCACACCCTTCCCTTTCCTCTCTGATATGCTATGGCTATTTCCCCACAGCTGAGCCTGCCATGAATGCTATGGCTGGTTAACATGACCATCTATGACGGAGGATAAACAGTTCTTCTAGTACAGAAAGTTTTTTCTCTGCCATTAGCACATCTACAACAAACCGTCGACCTTGAGCAGCACCTAAACAAGAGTGATTGACAGCGAGTCTTACAGTGACAGCCTTAAGTTATTCTGAGCGTTCTCTGTAGCTTTGCTGCTAAAGGCCTGCAGGCTGGAAAACAAGCAGAAATCACTTTTCCTCACTCTGCTACATTCTCCTACTACTCTCCGATTCAGCATTTGCTGTCATTTTAGCTTCAAACTTTAAACTCTTTTCCTGTTTTTTTTTTCATTTTTTCAGAAAAGCTACATCTTGTACGTTTAGCTGTAACTTTTTTCTAAGGATCCAGACCTTCATGTTTCCATCTTTCTGTATTTAACTTTGTCTCTTTCCTAGGCGAATCAATTGGAGGAGGTATTTTTGCAACTGACTGTCTTTTGTACTCTTGTTTTTCATGGAATACATTTTAATGCTGGCTCAAATCTCATGCTTTGCGATGATTGTGTTTTTCTGAAATTTCCTTCGTTTTTTTTCTCTCTCTCCTTGCCATTTTTGTCTCCTAAATATTATGGTGACCTGTCCAAATTGCCACTAATCCAATAAAGATTAAAGAAATTATATCAGATTTACCTCTGGCGCTAAAGGACCTACCGTCGTGTCTGGCCAAGCTGCTAGGAAAAAGCACAGTTAACCTGTTGCAGTGCTCTGTGAACGTACCTGTGCAGGAGGACTCTGTAGCGGGTTGTTCTCTAACTGCAGCGACTGCAGCTGCCTCATCTTCCTGTAGCACACCGGGATGGTGGACACCTTGTTACACGAGAAGTCGAACTTCACCAGCGGGAGGTCGGCCAGGTCTGATTGGACACACAGAGAAACGCTAAAGCCTGGGAACTCTTCAGCGCTCAGAGAAACAAGATTATTTTATTTCTTGGTTCAATTTTCCCTCACAAGCCGTGAACACCAAGCGTTAAGCAAACAACGGTTTGTCGGAGGAAACCTGCGACCACCCTTAGCTCCTAAAGCGACGCCGAAATCATTTGCTTTAATCCGAGCGCGTTAACCCTGGTGGAAGGGTGCAAATCGGAAACATCAGTTGCACCTATAAAATTTCTTGTAGGCGGCTCCGGCATAAAAAACATTTACCAGACCAATAAAATAACACATTTACTGAGAGCTGAACATGTTCTGCTGAATTTTAGCTCAAATCACCAACATGTTTCCCACCAGTGAGAACAATAAAGCTGTTGTTCATTTCCAAAGAGGCTTGTAATCACTGTAGCAGAGCTTCCCATTGCTCGTAAAAGCCCCCAAACCTACAAATTGTGCTCGACTCATGTTGGGAGTTTAGAGGAAAAAAGAAAAAGTGGAATTAACAAAGTCAATGATGTCATGAAAACTATTTATAACCTGGACGGAGCAACACACGAGCAGTTTAAAGCAAGAAACATCATCTATCCTGTCCATCTGTTGATCACACTATAGGGCATACAATAAAACTTTATTTAAAATAGACAAATATGATTTAGCCTAGTGGGGAGCTATTAAAGCCTGGCAGCCTGCCAGTCTTATAATCCACTGGGGGAAACCGTGATTTGTATTCCAGACTCCAGTTGACAGGTTCTCTTTATTTCAACCTCATGCAGGTGGTCCAAATGTCAGCCAAGTAGCTGATGAAATGATTGTTGCAGTAAAGATGTAAAGATACTCCATAAATGATGGAATTCACACAACATAAACAACCATGTCGCGGTGAGGTCAGTCAGGATGTGTAAAGCGGTTCAGTGGAAGGCGGAGAGAAGAGCGGTAAGCGCTAGTGCCACTAATCAAAACAATCTCAGTGTCATGATGAAGATTCCAGCCGTGAGGAGGAGGATTTTTCCACCGCTACTGCAGTTTAATCTTCACTTTGGGAGCCTCACTCCCAAACGTTGTGCTTTTGCCGCCCAGAGCTTGGCCGGGTTCTGAACAGTGCTGGTGGTCTCGCATCTCGGCGGGATATTAAACCCAGAACAACGTCCCGTCTGGTCTGCGATGGATGAGGATGGCAGCGGCGCAGGGGGGCTGCTGAAGGAGTTCAGGTCGTAACACCGAGGCGAGCACACATGTGCCCGGTTTGGAAACCAGAGCGGGAAATCCAAACAGAAGAGGGGGGAGGGAGATAGAGCAGAGTGAATCATCCAGCAAACAGGCCGGAGTCATTCATCATTCTGATCGACTATCTGCAGTCTGTCTGTAAAGGAACCACAACACAGACGGGGAACAAGACGTCCTCATGTTTCTGTGCCTAGTAAAGACTCGAATGAGACCTTCGCTTCTGAGACGTCTTTCAGTTTTCTGCTTGCTACAATGAAATATTCCATGAAGTAAAACAACCAGCAAAGCTGGCATGGGAAACAAAATGCATTCAGAAGTAGAAATTTAAAAGTTCTTTCATGTATCTGGGCTTGTAAGCTACACTTAAAAGGGGAATTATTATGTGTTTTCCAGACACATTAGTGACATTCCATGGCAGAATCAAGTAACTATCTTACCTTTAGTTGTTACAGAAAGGCTCTATATAGGTCTGTCACAGTAATCAAGAAATCAATTAATCACATAATCAAACAAACTCAATTTATTTGAGTTGGCATGGTTTATTGTTTATCTTTTTTCTGTCTCTTTCTACCAAAAACTGGATGATAAAAGTCTTCAGTTTGGTGCTTTGATCTCAACTGGACCCTTTTTCCAAGGACACTTTTGTTTACAATGACTTCAAAATGCATTTTATTTCTTCTTTATTGATTTTTTTGGGATATTTAAAATATCTTCTGGTTCCAGTGTTAAATGCTTATTAGAATTTAAAGTTTACTGATCTCTTAGGATGTTCTGTCACATTATTATTTTGACATCACCATTATATTAATAAATGGTCTCAAAACAACAATATGAATCGCAATAATCTCTGGAACAACTTATTGTCCAGTAAAAATTGTTATTGTATACATATCAAATATGATTTTAAAAAAATTCGACTTTCTAATTTAATGTCTTGAAATTGGATCTCTGTCTCTTTAAGAAGCTCCTGCTCTTTCTGAAATTATCACAACATGGCTCCTCTATGAACTTTAACAACAATTTTTAACAACATAATGGAGCAAATGCTATAAGCTCCTGTAATGAGCTCAGCCGATGTGAAGTTCCACCAGGTGTTTGCTAATTGATGCCAGCTAGTCTGAAGGAGCTGAAATTGCAGGCCTGAGGAAGAGCTTTGTCCTTGAAGGCGGAACTAGGGCCACGCAGGCGTTTTGAACAGAGATTAAAGGATTTCTCAAACATGGGAGAATCAAGGCAACACTTCAGGTGTGTCTTTGATGGGGGAAAAGCATCATAAAGGATCCTTCTTTATGCAGTTTATTAGAAACAATAGAGTTGTTTTGGTTTTCTCCTGTCTGACGGTCAGCTGCTTTAGTTTGCTCAAATTCGGGACATTTTAAGTGAAAGCCAAAGACTCGACAACCAGACTGCTAATCTGAGTTTCCTCAGATGATTTCTGGAGAGGTGTGGTTCTCTCTGTGTCACCAAGCAGATTGAGACTTTTGAAAACCAGAGGGTGATCCGAGGTCACGCTGGGGGTTCGGTATATTTTAGGAGGCTAAGACGGGTGTGGCAGAGCATACGGAGGACTCTGTGGTCTAAAAAGAGCCCGTCGCCTCCGACGTTACGGCCGCAGTTTAAACACACACAGGGAGAAAGACGGAGTAACAGGAAAACATAACCTCGCACAGATAGGGAACAGACTCACCTTCTGGCAGGACACAGAGGAGATTTCGCCGCACGTTAAGTTCCCGCAGCGCTTTGAGTCTGCCGATGTGCCGGGGGAGGGCCGTGATCTCGTTACAGCTGATGTCCTGCGGCACATACAACAGCATTAAATTTACAACATTCTCCAGGATGACAAATGTTTTTGTGTTTTTTTAAGTGGAATACCTTAAAATACCAGATAATAACACAAGTTTTATTTTCATATTGATCTGACTAAAGAAACTTTAAACATCCAAGTAAATTCTCAAGTGAGAGTAAAAAGAAGTATTTGGTAAAAAGGTAACTCAGGTGCTAAGAACCAAAAAAATTAATCATTTAATATTTACTTCAGACTTACCAAACTATAAAGTTACGTGGAAATGGTATTTTAAAGACCAAATTGAATACAAGTGTTAAAAAAAAAACTTAAATGCAAATGATAATAATAAAAAATATTTTCCAAATCGGTTCCTTTCAAGTATAAAACTTATAACATTAACAGAAACTGCAGATGTGTGTGCGTGTGTGTGTGTGTGTGTGTGCATGTGTGTGTGTGTTTTTGTCTGGTGCATTTTTGGTTAAAACAAACTTACTTAGGACTGTCATAATAACAATTTTTCCGGATGGTAAATGTTCCCATACTCCGATAAACAATACTATTGTATTGTATCGCATACGTAATAGATTGGCTATCGTATAATAATAACACCAGGTCGCCCTCTCAAAACCTTTAATTTTGTACAGGACATACCGCTTTGGCACTGGAAGATATTTTAAATATCCAAAAAATTTTACATATTTTGCACTTTTATTTATTGTTTTTGGTTTTATTTTTACAACCAAAAATGTTGTGATTACAATCAGTTGGTTAATCAATTACTTATTCAGGTTTAGTGAAGTTACTCACAGTGACTTGAGTCATACTTCATAATAAAATCACTCAAGTAAAAGTAAAAAGTACAGCGACGTAAGAAATACTGCTAAATGTACATTATTCTAAAAAGCTCCTCATTTAAACATGACTTTGATTTATTATGTCTAATTAGCATGTACTTCACCTCATTCATTTGAATAAAATTAGCATCAGAACATGAAATTTCAATCGATTCTTTTTTTCATATAGATGTCAACCAATAGACCGGTTTTCCTTTTATGCGTCGTTGTGTCCAGTCAGAACTGATCAACGTCTGAATGTGTCAGAACTTGGAAACATGCTGACCTCTGTATCGACCAGGAAAGGCCTAATCAGTGCACCTCTAGTGTCAAACAATCTCAGGACTGAAGTGAAATCGGTACGAGGCTGAGTGAGTCTCACCAGCTCCATGAGGCTGTGCAGCTGCCCGATGGTCTCCGGCAGGCTCACCAGTTTGTTGTTGCTGGCGTTGAGGACCCTCAGAGGTAGACCGCAGAGGCACGACGGCAGAGAGCCCAGCTGGTTCCGACTGCAACCCAAATACACACACACACACACACACACACACACACACACACCACACACACACACACACACACACACACACACACACACACACACACACACACACACACACACACACATACATACAGACGCGTGCACATATCACTGACATGGAGGAAGACTATCAAAAATCATTAATCTTGAATAACAATCATGAAGGAAATTTAAATATTTTGTAGAAAAAAACTAACAATAAAAAGAACAGCTAAATTATTGGGGATGTGATGATAGATGCAGCTCACAATACAAAGATACAAAGTTTTGACAATATTTTGGGGACAACTTAGAATAACTTTTTTGTTTCATTTTCAGACGTACAGAAAAGTTTTTCACAAATGATAAAACTTTTCTTAAGGAGTTCCTTTCCGTACCCACTGATTAACCACTTAATCAGTGGGTTAAATGTGTGTAGTTATAAACTACACTGTGTAGTTTATTGTGCGTGGGGAATCCCAAATCAGACGTAAACATTAGCATTGCGAACAGATAGCAAGTCCTGGTTTTCAAGTATTTTGCAGTTTTCTATGGCAGCTCAGCGAAGAAGTTTCTGTTCGATTGTATTTCTGATGTTCGCCCAGGAGTAGTTTGTTTTTCTCAAATAGGGTCTTGGCCAATAATTGACTCATTGAAGTGGATGTCAGGGGCTGCACCATCCCTTCACCTGCCAACTAGCTTCAAATACTGTTAATTCCAAATTATGATGCTCGTACAACTTCAGATTTTGGACCATTTGATGTTTTTTAGCCCAAAAACACAATGAGCCGCTGGTTGACTGCGGCTCATTGTCAACCATCTTGCTAAGCAAGATGACCTAGCTTAGCAGGTCATCTTGGGGAAACTGAGCAATTTTAAAATCTTCTTAAAATGAGAAACTTTATTTTTTGTAACCAGTTACTGCTCCTTCAACTATTTATTTAGCTCTATCAATTTTCTACCCAGCACCCAGTATTCAGCCACAAAATCCATCTAATTAAAGACTTCTTCAACCAACAGAACAAAATAGGGCGATTTAAGAACTACTTCCTTTCACGCTTCAAAATAAGAGTTTTACGCATAGATAATAACAGGTTCAAGTACACACCATCACTTCTGTTCTTCTTACACTGTTAGTCAAGCAGAGGAAGTGTTTCACATTTTCTTCTATAGTTTCCACATGTGAAGTACTTTAACAATCCTCCAGGAATATATATACCCAGTAGTAAAAGAGCCGCGTGGAGCAGTTTCTACGAGTCAAAAAATAAAACAAAACCACATCTGCACAATAGCACACACAGAGATGCAGATACTGACACACACACACACATGCACACCCACACACACCTTCATCACACACTGAAACCTCAAATGAGTCAGCTTTAAAAAAAAGACAACAGAAAATAGCCCTTTGGAAACCAGTCGTCCACAACAGCGCACTCACTTTAACGTTTTTAACACTGACCTTTCTAATTTCAGATTGTTCTATCAAGTGAGTGATATTAGACCGAGCTGAATTAATCTGATGTAAAGCGCTGCTAGCCAAAGATGTTAAAAATACTGATTTCTCAAAAGGAAAAAAAAATGATCAAAGTAGGTTTTATTTTTGTGTGTCTATGTGTGCTCATGTGTGGTGAGTCAAACACAGCCTTCCTGTCAGTGTTTCGGACATAGACAATTCTAATGTCTGCCAGGGCCGCACAAAATCCCCTTTGTTCCCCCCCCCCTCCAAATTCCACTTTTTCAATTTCAATTTCTCTGAATACTATTTTAATCATACTTACTAACCCGAAAAGTTCACAATTACGATGCGAATGAAAACAATTTAACAAATCAATAACCAGAGGTCAACATTTCCTGTTATTCTGTACCACAAATGGAACCGACTGCAGTGGTTGAGCGGAACTTTGGTTTTGAAAGGTGTTAAAATGTGTTTCTCTCTCATGTTTGTAAAGAGCTTAAATATGAGGAAAACTAAGAATGTCATTTTTGACGTAAAAGAAAAAAAAATGAAGAATTGAACTCCACACCAAAACACTTTTCACATGAAGAAAGAAAAGACCAAAGAATACTGATTCATTTAAATGTTTAAGAGTTAGCAGACGTGTTTAGCTGCAGCTAGCGAGGTAGAGTCTGTACGTTTCTGAGTAGCCATCATATCGTTGTTGCTCCTCCAATAAACCAAGTTTACTCCTGTCTAAAACTTGTACTAGGCTTCAGGAGTTTTCTTGGGAAGATGTTGGTGTTTCAGAGCGTTTTTTTTTCACCATGGCTGACTCTGAGTAGAGAGGCGAGCCAAGAGCCCGGTGCAACCAGGTAACAGCGTCGCTTCTGCTTAAACATGGCCGTGCGTACCTGAGGTTCAACGACGTGAGCGACTGTAGGGTGATGATGCTGTCCGGGATGGTCCTGATGCAGTTGTGATACAAGTTTAGTGTCTCCAAGGCGACTAGGTGGCAGACCTCTGAGGGGACGTCGCTGAGCCGGTTCTTTGAGAGGTCTGCAAAAATAAAAAAAATTTAAAATGGAGACATTTAAGTAAAGGAAAGAGTAAAAACAAAAGCAAGAGAGGATGGGTTTTATTTAGATATCTAGAAATTTTGCTACAATAGATACGTTGCATGTTATTGTTTACATCCGGAAATTTCACAGATGTAAACAATGCTGGAGGGTAAAAAGGCTACGTCCCTTACAGTCGCGCTGTCACGGGAGAGCAATCCCTTTGACAAAATGAAACCTGGAGATGCAGATATTATTAATTTAGTGCGCCAAAGAAAATTCAAAATAAAGCAGGAAAACCATTTAAGAATAACTCAAAAGCAAATTCTTATTTTTTATACCCTACGCACAAACCTGTTTCCATAGCAACAATGCCTCTAGTGTATCAGGATTCAACACCATAAACAGCATCTTTTTAGTGACAGACAGCTACTGTATGAGCCTCCAGCTGCTGAGTCTGGGAAGTGAACCCCTCCTCACTTTAACAACGACCAGCTATTTGCTGTCGGTAATTACAGGGTGTGGATGTTTGAAGGACTTTGTCCTGACATCTAGGTTAGCTATATGTTAGCAGAATCGATTGCCTCTTTCTAAACTTGCCCCTTGTCGGCTTGTCGCGTCGCTCTGCAGCATGACACAAGTCGGCTGCAGGGAAGGCAGCCGGCATCAGCCTCTAATAAAGTTATTTTATGACCGCTTTTACAAATATAAACCAGAAAATCTGAAATCTGGGTTCTGCAAAAGAACATTTTTTTAAGTGATGTAAACACAGTATGTGGTGGGACAGACTGAGTCCGACATGATAGTAAAAGGGTTCTTACGAAATGTTATGGGAACAATTACACACATTTCCAGATATGTCGTGCTGATTTTACAACAACAATAAATATCAGCGGAAGGGTGAGGGAAAGAGAAATAAAAGAAAAAGATTAGGAAGTTTGAAGAAAAGGAGAATATGGGATTAAATACTAAACAAAAGAGCAAACTATCTCTAACAATGCTTATAACTGCTAATTTTAATACTTCAAACACAAAATGTACAGTAATATGACTTAATACACACAGTGGATACAGTCTTAGCTCTACTGTAGACGTGCTAAAGTGAGGGAACAGCCAATCAGTGCAAAGGAAAGGAACGGAAAGGAAGAGAAAGGAAAGGACTGTTTCCTGGACAGTCAGCTCAACTTTGCTGAAAACACTGGTTATATTTTTAAGAACTGTTCTCAGAAGACCTTTAAGAAGACCCAGTGACCTCGGGGTTACCCAACTAAAGATTGTGTACAAGACAAAATGTTGAGTGTTTTAACTTTTCATCTCCTGAGCTGGTTTGGTTACATGAGCTGCAGAATAACAAACTTTCAATGGTATGTAAAGTAGCAACCAAACCAAAAACAACTTTATCTCAACTGTTTGCTGAAAGAACATGGAATACAGCAAGGAATACTCTAATTCATTTATTTTTTTATGGACTTTCACTCGATTAAGTTTCTTATGTGCACATTGTAAATGGTATTTTTATTATAGCTGGTTTTCATGTCCCTGTATTTCTCTTATCCCTCCTACAGTTAATGGAAATGTATAGATATCATCTATGATGTGTAAAGGTTTTGTTTATATCTTTTGATTTGCTCTACGTCCTTAAAAAATGAAAAAGTAAGGTGTTTTATTCGAGAATTTATCTTTTAAGGGGCCAGTAATGCCTGAATTAATAGCAAATAATAAAGACTTTGTGGTGTTCTTGATTTAGTAATGTAATTACATTAGTTTTGATACCACCCCCATGCCACTAGAGGCAGTATCAGGCCCGAAAAGATGCGATTATGGAGCATATTTAACAGAATTTGTTAAAAACTGTGAGAGGCGCTGACATAAATAAAATGCACAAATTAAAAAACATGCTGAGAGTGGAACTCCTTCTTAAACATGAAGATATATCACAGATATCAAAAGAAAATAAAAACAGGAGACTGCGGATAATATAAAAAATAGCACCCCCTTCACTTCCGGAGTGCAATGGTCCCATTTCCAAATAAGGTTATGAGGCTGACTGTGGTCTGTCCCCGACCCTTTCTGTTGGCTGCAGCCATGTCCTTCTCATGGGACTTTTTGCCTGTTCACAATATAAATAATTAATGGCTGCTCCCAGAAGAAAAGCAAGAAAGCTGCTCTAAGATCTTTATGAATACTGTTCATGAATTCAAGCAAGAATCGGATCAAATTCAGCAGTTCAGAGTTTTCCATCGGTACCCCAGCGAGAGCAAATCTGTGATCTATGACTCGTGGAAGTCAGTATTGCAGGAGCCGGCTGCTCCAAGCCAGGACCAGTGACATCACGTCCTGCGCAGCTCGGCATCGACAGTATCGACTTTACTTATCAGCGGGCACCAAATAAGGCAGAGAAATGTCAGTCGGTATTGTTCTGCCGAGGTTCAGCGCTCGGCCTCTCCGCAAACCCATTTTGTTTTCTTCTTCCCAGACTGAGAAAGAGAGAGAGGGACGAGAGCTTGTGTCCTCTGGAGGCAGCCGTCATAGATGCGGTGGGACTTAGGAGAGTGTCCGAGTGCAATCGTGCGTGACCTTTGAGACAAAGACTGAGCCGTGCATGAATTATTTTTTTTGTCCAGGCATGATTGTTATTCGTTCTGGCGTTGCAGAGTCAGGAGAAAACGAGAAAGGGCATCGGTGCTGCAGGGTGCTGCCCCGACCGGCAGTGGGGTGGGGAGCCACAATTGCCCCTGGATGTTGTCATGTAGGAGGAAAGAAAAACATCAAGAAAACTCTCTGCAAGTCGTCTGACTCTGAAGACAAGCGTGTGGAGCTCTTTTACAAAATTAACACTATGGCAACAACGGCGAGGCTGCTGGTGCAGGGACAGGAAGTGCTATTTAAAACGAGATGAATGAGGAACAAAGAGCGTGTCAGATCTGTTTTCATTCAAGCTGCTGTAAAACACACACCGGCGTGCAGCTATCGCTGTCGGAGTGTGTGTCTGCAAACGCTGCAGTGACCTGGAGAGCAGGCGAATTAAGGACCTTCCATCTCCCAGACACACTTCTGTCGGAAAACCTTCGTTGCACGCGGCATGAGGAGGTTGGCCGCCCTCGGGTCAGATACCCATCAGGGCCCTATTCACTGCTGCAACTGGCTGTAGACAAAACGGCTGAGGCATTCTGTTTAAACTTGCAGCGTGAGATGGCAGCAGAGATAAAAAATTAAAAAAAAAACAGAATGAACACCTTCCTGGAGATACACAGAGCCCAGGTCCTCCAGTTCCCACAGCGCTCAGACATGTAAATTCCCAGCCAAGCAATCTGGTTTTTGTGCCAGCAGCTTAGAAACAGTGATTGTTGAAGCTACATCTCTCTCCTTGACATAATCTAATGCCAGCCTCGAATCCGTCGTTGCTCTGTGGTTCCTTTAGACATTCAGGTTGTATACCAACAAATATCGACTGAATTCTGAAAAGAAATGTACACTTAACATTTTGCAGATATCTTCAGGTTTCAGCCAGTCCACTTTAGAACATTTTAAGACCGTTTTAAAAAATGAAGATGTGGCTTTATTGCAATCAAGCATAGGTGTCTCCATGTGGCTCTTGGCAGCAGCACATTTTTCTCGCACTGGAAATGCCTCTCTACTCACCATCTGAGACCAAAGTAGAGATGTTCGGCCACAATGGCACCAACATATTAGGCGACATCCATTCAAAGCACATCAGCACAAAACTCTCAAACCAATTTCCAGGCCCAGTGTTTTGTTGCCTCATTCAATAGACTTTGAACTGATTGAGGAACAACGTTTTCTAGAGCAAAGTGAGGCCAGCTTGGCAACTCCAGTGGGTTTGCGAGTGCCTACATCAAACTGTAGGTTTATCCAGCCAGTTTTTGCCAAAATTATGAAAATAAAGGACAGTTAAACTTATATTTTTTTTATTGAAATTAGATTGATGATGAAAACAAACAGGGCCTCGCTTTATGAGGTAAGGCGTGGGACTTCCTGTGTTATTAACAGGACTCTCCCCTCGTCTGTGAAACAGGAAAGAACCTTATTGTGGTAATGAAACGTCAGCGTTTTGCTGTCAAGGTGAACGCTTAAGACCACTTGAAGCTGAAGGAGATGAAGCTGGAAAAGGGAGCAGCAAGTACAGTGTGGAACATGCATCTCTTGGAAATGACGCCTTTTCCGATCTGCTCACAAACTGGACTGAGATCAAGACTTTAACTTTCTTTGACCTGGAGACACTTTGTAAACACTTTGTGCACTTAGGGTTATTGTCCATTTGGAAGATCAATCTGTGACTGAGCTTCAACTTCCTGGTTGATGTCTGTAAGTGCTGCATAATCTTAGTTCATTCATCATCTAAAAAAGATTTTCTGTATTTTTTTTTTTTTTTACTTTCTTCCTTTGCGATTAGGTGGAAGGACTTTCAAAATTTCATACAGAATTTATTGATAAAGAGAAAAAAGCTCTGAGACCTTGACCTGTGGAGAAAATTGGTTTACATAAACTTTGAGTTCAATTGTCAACCGACACAAAGTTTAATGGGAATTTTGTCCCTAAAGAGAAATCAAGAGTAGAAAAAAATTGAAAATCATCCGCAGAATTTATGACTGGTGGATCTGTCCACTAAGACTTTTGGGAAAAGACTCAGTAAAAGCAGAAAGAGATGATTGAGAAAACTCCATCGCACACCACTGTTTGTGCCGTATGCCTCTGTTTTTACATTTAGTATCTGCACATATGAGACATAATGCAACAGATTTCACTCTATGAATCTTGGAACATTTTCTCATTAGTCAAAATCACATAAAAGATTGAAAATTATGACATTGACTTCCAAAAAAAAAAAATAAGAGAACAAATCTTTCTCCTTGTTCTTAAATAAAACAGACGGGCTCAACAAGAAATGTGCAGCAACTGATGTAAAGATTAGCAGATGCGTTTTCCTTTCCTCTCCAGGTTAGATGTTCCAACTCATCCACGTTCCGGTGTTAGTTGTAC